GGTCAAGGGCACATGCCTGGGTTGCGGGCTCGATCCCCAGTAGGGGTCATGCAGGAAGCAGCCGTTCAATGAGGCTCTCTCATCATTGATGTTTCTGTCTGTCTCTCCCTCTCTGAAATCAGGTATTGGTGGGATGTTCTCTCAGGATCATTTTATTTTATTTTGTTTATTTATTTATTTATTTACAGAGAGGAAGGGAGAGAAACATCGGTGAGAGAGAAACATCGATCAGCTGCCTCCTGCACAAAAATATATTAAAAATAAAAAGACGGAGTCTTTGTTGTAGGAACCAGTGGCCATAAGCCATTAGACAAAACAGCTCTTCACAGCAAAGTCCATTCAGGCAACAGCACATCGGCTGGTAACTACATATCTTTCCTACACAGTAGCCTTCATCTCTGTACCCACAGCTGTTATCTGAGCAGCCGCACGCTGCCTCTAGACCAGCGGTTCTCAACCTGTGGGTCTCGACCCCTTTGGCGGGCAAACGACCCTTTCACAGGGGTCTCCTAAGACCATCCTGCATATCAGATATTTACATGACGATTCATAACAGTAGCAACATTACAGTTATGAAGTAGCAACAAAAATAATAATTTTATGGGGTCACAACAGGAAGAACTGTATTTAAAGGGCCAGAAGGTTGAGAACCACTGCTCTAGACCTATAGCTTTACAGAGCAATTGTAGCTGAGCTCTCCCTTCGAGCGACAGCCTCAGTAGCCTCTCCAAGCTGCTCTGGCTCAGCAGCTTCTCCTGTCCCCGGTGCCCGGCACACTGGCTGGTCTCTAGCCTCACATAGTAACTACCTCGGGGAGCTGCTCTGTCTGAGCTCTCTGGCCTTAGTAACATACTTTCCATGCTACTTAGACAAAGGAGGCCAGTTGCCAACAGTGACATCAATCATTAGGCGTCGGCAAGGCACGCCTGTGCAGCGTGCCGTCATTGCTGTCCTTGCACCTGCTCATGGCACCTCAGTCTTGAACATTTGATTAAGATTCCCGTGTTCAGAGTGGCCTTGGCTGTCCGGCATACTATCGACAAGGCCTCTACACTCTAATCAGCCTTGACTATCTGGGGACTCTGGCGTGGTTCCCACAGGGGGGTTAGGACTTCAACATATAGATTTTTTTTTTGTGGGGGGGAAGGGGGACACAAATCAGCCCATAAGAGGGGCTATTATGTTAAAGCAGCCTCGAACATTCTGGCACGTGACATGCCTTTTGGTGAACACGTGCATGCATTTCCGTTGGCCACATCCCTCAGAGGGGACTGGCTGGCTCACAGAGGACGTGTGTGTGTGTGTGTGTGTGTGTGTGTGTGTGTGTGCGCGTGTGTGTGTGTGTGTGTGTGCGTGTGCGTGTGTGAACTGGAGTAGAACTTGCCAAACAGTTCTCAGTGTGGCTGGAGCACTTTACGCCCCGCCCCCAAATGGATGAGATTTCCAGCTGCTCCAAATCCTCATCAGCTCTTGATAGTGTCAGTCTCTTGAGTTTGAGACATTCTGTGGTTGGTAAACAAAATCTGATTTGCCTGGTTTTAATACAGCCTGAATTTCCCATGGATGCAATTACTTTTAAAAAAATATATTTTATTGATTTTTTTACAGAGAGGAAGGGAGAGGGATAGAGAGTTAGAAACATCGATGAGAGAGAAACATCGATCAGCTGCCTCCTGCACATCCCCACTGGGGATATGCCCGCAACCAAGGTACATGCCCTTGACCGGAATCGAACCTGGGACCCTTTAGTCCCTAGGCTGATGCTCTATCCACTGAGTTAAACCGGTCAGGGCACTTTTTTTAAAAAAATGATTTTATTGATTTCAAGGAGGAAGGGAGAGGGAGAGAGAGAGTCATGGATCGGCTGCCTCCTGCACGCCCCACACTGGGGATCGAGCCTGCAACCCGGGCATGTGCCCTGTCTGGGAATTGAACCCTGACCTCCTGGTTCATAGTTTGACGCTCAACCATTGAGCCACGCCAGCTGGGCACTTTTTTTTTTTTTAGAGAGAGAGGAAGGGAGAGAGAGAAAGGGAGAAACATCGATTTGTTGTTCCACTTCTTTATGCATTCATTGGTTAATTCTTGTATGTGTCCTGACGGGTGATCGAACCTACAACCTTGGCGTATGGGGATGACTCTCTAACGAACTGAGCTACCCGGCCAGGGCCACAACTACTTTCTAGGAAATATTGTACTATGTTTTGTTCAGAAATCAACCAGGGGTTATTCACCCTTCTTGATAATCGCGTCCCCACTGCAACCCCACTTCCGGCATCAAAGTCACATCAAAGAGGTCCACCACAGCATCTGTGTCAAACTGCTGTAGCAGCTGCTGCATTCTCTCTCTCTCTCTCTCTCTCTCTCTCTCTCTTACTTAGCCCTTTCTCAGCATCTCAAATATAACAAAAGGGACTGACATTATTCCATTGGCGATTTTTCTAATTCTCTTATACTTCAATATATTCATTATAAGTAGGTGAAAGCACTTGACCATTTATTTATGTTTTTCAGTGTAGTTGTACTAATGCATTGTTACATGTTTTTCTTTATTATAAATTACTTCATTGCTATTTGATGTTAGCTAGGTTATTATGTTGATTTTTTTTAAATGATGTATGCCAGTAGGACACACTATCTATGCATTTCATCTCATAGAGTGGGGTTGGGACCTGCTGTCTAATGGGTTGGGGGGAGATTGTAAAGGCTCCGTGAGAATCGGCTGCTTTACTTGTTCAGTATGTACTGAGAACTACTGTGTGCATGGCCCTGTCTGGACAATGCTGGGGATGCAGCGGTGACAGAGACAACCCCAGCCCTGCCCCTACAGGGCTCAGAGTCTGGGGAGATACTGACCTGTTCCGGGACAGCGAGGCCCCTGAATGGACTGGGCTGGGCTGAAGGAATCTGGGGGGAGTAGGACAGCCCAGAGGGCCACCTGCCCCAGCCTGGGGTCAGGGAGGGCTTCCTGGAAGAGGTGGTATCTGAGCTGAGCCTGGAGGATGAGGAGGACTTAACTAGAGGGAAAGGCTTGGAAAGGTGTTCCAAGCAGGAGGAACAGCCTACGCCAAGGCCCAGACAAGAGGGAAAATGTGTTGTGTTCAAGGAACCAAACGCTTGTTATGTAGCTAGAGACGGGGTTTCTCACCTCGGCTCGCTGTGCCTGGGGAGCCTCTTCTGTCTGCCGTGGCGTCCGTACAGGGAGGCAGATGAAGTATAAGCTCTGGCCCCTCACTCCCATGGCTCTGCCCACACCCTTGGAGGTGCCCTTGAAGTCTTACTTTTTGCTGTTGTTAATCATCACCCGAAAACATTTTTCCCATTGATTTTGATTTTTTTAAATTGATTTCAGAGAGGAAGGGAGGAGATAGAAACATCAATGATAAGAGAGAATCTTCGATCTGCTGCCTTCTGCACATCCCGCACTGGGGATCAAGCCTGCCCTGATGGGGAATCGAACTGTGACCTTCTGGTTCATAATTGATGCTCAAACACTGAGCCACACTGGCCAGAATCCATTGATTTTTAGAGTGGGAGGGAGGGGGAGAGGAAGAAGGAGAGAGAGAGAGAGAGAGAGAGAGGTGAGAGACAATTGGATTGGTTGCCTATAGCAGGGGCTGGGATTGAATCTGCAACCCAGGTACATGCTCTTGACTGGGAATTGAACCCACAACCCCTTGTTGCCTGGGGCAACACTCTAACCACTGAGCGGAACCAGCTAGGGCTAAGTCTTGCATTCTTTTATTCGTTTTCAAGAGGGCTTCCTACCTGTGTAAACTTCAGGCCCTACACAACCTGGGTCCACCTCTGTCCATTCTTGATAGTAAATTAATCTTTGATCCAGCAATTTGTCTTTTCAGAAGTCATAAATGGTCTCCATTTATCGAGAACTTAACAATATTTCAGGCCTTGTGCCAAACACTTTATATGTATTAATTCATTGATCCACTGAATTCTGCACAACAAACCTGGGAGGGAGGTGTCATAATCTCTATTTTACAGATGAAAACGCTGAAGTCCAGAGAATTTTCCTATATTCCCCAAGGTCACACAGCAGTAAATGACAGAGCCAGGATTCAAACCCATGCCTCTGGCTTCAGAGTCCAGGCTTATCATATAATTATGAGTTCTTTTTAAAAAAAAATGTTTTTATTGCCCTAACCGGTTTGGCTCAGTGGATAGAGCGTCGGCCTGCAGACTCAAGGGTCCCAGGTTCGATTCCGGTCAAGGGCATGTACCTTGGTTGCGGGCACATCCCCAGTAGGGAGTGTGCAGGAGGCAGCTGGCCAGTGTTTCTCTCTCATTGATGTTTCTAACTCTCTATCCCTCTCCCTTCCTCTCTGTAAAAAAAAAAAAAAATCAATAAAATATATATTTAAAAAAAAATGTTTTTATTGATTTCAGAGAGGAAGGAAGAGGGAGAGATAGAAACATCAGTGATGAGAGAGAATCATTGATACGCTGCCTCCTGCAGGCCCACTACTGGGGACCCAGCCCACAATCCAGGCATGTGCCCTGACCAGGAATCAAACCCTGACCTCCTGGTTCATAGGTCGATGCTCAGCCACTGAGCCACGCCGGTTGGGCATGAGTTCTTTTTGAGCAAAGTTACAGACCACATGCAAACAAAGATGTGTGCTTCTAGTTCAATGCAGCATTGAGGGCAACCTCCCCAAACTGGGAACCACTCAAACGTCCACGAGACCAGGTGGGGCAAATTATGGCCCATCTACAGGATGGAATTTTACCCAGCCGTTTAAAAGGTTAACCACCCCTTGTTAAGTTAAAGATACAGAATTTCAGTGAAGTATATCTACCTTTTCTTTTATTAAGAAGGCAAGAAAATAGTAGTAATAAAGATTTACTCATTCAATCAACATTTGTCGAGAGCCTGCAATGCACAAGGCGCTGTTGGAGGCACTGGGACAGAGCACGGTGAACAGGTGATGTAGTACAGAGACTGACTGTGGACAAGACAAGTAAGAGATACAGTCGCCCTGGCCGGTTTGGCTCAGTGGATAGAGCGTTGGCCTGGGGACTCAAGGGTCCCAGGTTCGATTCCGGGCAAGGGCACCTGCCTGGGTTGTGGGCTCGATCCCCTGTGTGGGGTGTGCAAGAAGCAGCCAATCAATGATTCTCTCTCATCATTGATGTTTCCATCTTTCTCTCCCTCTCCCTTCCTCTCTGAAATCAATAAAAATATTAAAAAAAAAAGAGATACAGCCCTGACCGGTTTGGCTCAGTGGATAGAGTGTTGGCCTGGGGACTCAAGGGTCCCAGGTTCGATTCCGGGCAAGGGCACCTGCCTGGGTTGTGGGCTCGATCCCCTGTGTGGGGTGTGCAAGAAGCAGCCAATCAATGATCATCGATGTTTCTAACTCTCTCTCCCTCTCCCTTACTCTCTGTAAAAAATCAATAAAATATATATATTTTTAAAAAGAGATACAGTCGTTTAGAAGATGAACAGTAAATAGAGAAATACGGGATTGGAGGCGTTGCAATTTCTAAATGGGTGGTTTCAAGGAACGCCCCTGTGAAGAGCTGACATTTGAAGAAAGAGGTGGAAGGCTGTAAGTAGTAGCCACATGAAGAGCAAGGGACTACCAGGGATGTCCACTTCCAATGTTTTATTTTTTAAAATATATTTTATTGATTTTTTTTTACAGAAAGGAAGAGAGAGGGATAGAGAGTTAGAAACATCCATCAGCCGCCTCCTGCACCCCCCGCCCCCCACTGGGGATGTGCCCCCAACCAAGGTACATGCCCCTGACGGGCACCGAACCCGGGACCCTTCAGTCCGCAGGCCGACGCTCTACCCACTGAGCCAAACCGGTCAAGGCCACTTCCAACCTTTTAAACCACAAAATGAAATTACGGGCAACCTCAGGGAATCCGGTCTGCCCACTTCTAACTGTCACCACCTCCGGGAAGGGTACTCCACAGCATTCATCATCGCTTCGAATAACGGGCTCCTGCCTAAGTCCTGGTGAATGCATAGCCCCCCGGAGTCCGTAGGCCAATCCGCTGCCCCCCTTCCGAGCGGCTGCCGGCTCACCCGCCACAGGCCCTCTGCACAGGTTGGGGGTCTCCTGCCTGCACGGCCACCCCCAGGCCTCTCCTCCCGCCCTTCCTACAAGCCCGCTCTCAACACTTCTGTTCGTCGTTTCACATTGACTTGTGCCTTCCCTCCTGGGGGCAGGGATGGAGCCTACGCCTTTCATCACTCCGACCCCCCTTACTTCCCTGGGCACAAGCCGGGCACCAGGGCCTGGCACGCACCTGCTTATTGCAACCAGGAAATCAGGGAGCATGTAAAGGCCAGAGAGAGGGGAGGGTGTCTCCTTCCTTAGAAGAGGGCAATCCAGGCAGAAGGAAGTCGGACAAACTTGCAGAACACCCTGGCGGATCAGCTCGGCCCACTCCCGCGTCCACTCGTGGGGGCGCGGCGCCTTTAAGGATCCCGGAAACGGGCCGCAGGACCGGAAGTGACCCTCTTTATTTCCCCTCTTCACGTGGTGCAGGCGGGAAGTGACGCGCGGGGCCCCGGGAGCTGCGGACG